TTAGATTTAAAACCAGAGAATTTATTATATAAGAGTCGAGCACCTGATTCCACTCTTGTGCTGGGTATTGATAAATGCAGCAAATTATAATATCAATGAATTTAAAAATATAGTAATTCATTTTTTGCTAAATGTCTAGAACTGCAAAATTCATGAAAGATGCACGATGATATTCTAACTACTAATTGTGGTTCACCTGGTTACGTCGGTAAATTTTGTTTTTTTACGACCTCTATCCTCTTAGTATATCATCAATATAATAGTAATTTAATTCTTGTAATACCACCAGAAATTTTAAATCGAGTTGGATATAATAAATTTGTGGATCTTTGGAGCATCGGTATTTGAAATGAGCCTTTTTTTAGTAATTCTTATAATTTTCATAAGTTAATAAATTGCATTGACCTCATTTATATAGTATTATCACATATGCGCTGCAAGCATGTTACTAAATGTTGATCAGATGAGCTTTATGCGAATGGAATTAAATTCTCGACTTAATTTTCTCAAATGAATATAGCTTATGTGGTTATGTACCGGCTCGTAATGAGGATCGATTTGCCACAACCGAGGAAAGAAAATGGCTTACGCGTAGAGTTTCACAATCGCTATCGGAGAAACATTTCATCAGATGGTATTATTATCCAACATATTCTTTTCTTTTGCGCTATTCAAAACTTAATCAACAATCATAAATATTAAATAAAGAATGATCCTGTCACTTATAAATATTAAGAGATTTTATTATCCACTTACTAAATTACAATTCGAAAAAAAGGCTGACTACAGAGCAAGTGCTAAACATAAATGGCTTACGGGTAAAACGGCAATGGACATTGACTTTGTCGAGAACTTTAATGCTCGTAGAACATTTGGAAAAGCGATGGAAGTTGTACAAACGGCGAACAGACTCGAGAAAAATGCTACAAAGAAACCTGATAGTGAGGTTGATAGGAAGAACTACAAAATGTGCAAGAAAATCAAAATCATATCAACAGCAGGCCCAAGATACCGAAACGGATCCAGATGTAAGGATAATTGAAGTATAAGTTGATAGATTGATGAATTAATGAATTGTATATTATTCATATACTTGTAGAATTCAGTTATCGTTGTATATTTATATTCTGTGTTCGATGTAATATAGCTTATTAATTGTACGTACATGTATTGCATTAGGATCTTTATATAAATATTCGGAGAAAGGGTTTTTCCATGGGTGGATTGAAGTTCAGTACATTTTAGTTTAAATTCCGTAGCATTAACATTTAAGCAAATTTTTGATTTGAGCAAGTGTAGTTTCGGCCGATGTACATGTATTGTGTGTTGTAATGTCGTTTTACTCAATTTTTCGTTGATGGTTGTAAGAATTGAAGAAAAAAAATTGGGTATGGGCATAAAGTCTTTGCTAAAGAGTTTATTCCAAGTTGGCTTCCTCAACCGGCTCAAACTCTCTCCGAGCCAGTAGTAAAGAAAAGTGAAACAGGGAACTTGACTGACATACCTGTGGAAAATACTCTGACGCCGCCAAATCCTGCCGCTAATCCTGCGCCAGTGGCTAAAAAAGAGATGGGAAAGAAAACCGTGTCTTCTAGCACTACCGTTTCCACCCCTACTGCACAAATAACAGAAACGCAGAACAAGACGAACACATTGATGCTGAAGATCTTTATGCCAAAGAACATTTAAATGTGTTCATTGGTCACGTAGGTTCATATGTTAAATGACTATCTTTCTCCGCAAGCATATTTAAATGATACATCTGGAATTTATTTATTTTTAGGTGCTGGAAGGTCGACGATGGGTGGTAATTTGCTTGTTGTAAGTATTTATCTTACCTTATTTTCATCTTTAACTATATTAAATATTTTATTTTACATGTTTAAATCCTATGATTAAGATTTTTAACGGGAATGGTGGATCAAAGATCTATGGAAAAGTATGAGAGAGAAGCTAAAGAACAAGGACGAGAGTCTTGATACCTTTCCTGGGCCCTTGATACTAGAACGTGCCAAAGTAAATCATCTTATTGTCTGTTTCTTTTTATTCTATTATCTTATTCCCGCTAAAATATACGCGTATTAAAAAAAGGTAGGAGGCGCTTCCCAAGCCAATATAGCAGTCTTGGTAAGATGATTAACTTAATTATGCACATAATATTCTTGTATAAGTCGATTATTTACATGCCTTAAATTTGATATTATTTCCACAAAGGTGATCTAGGTGAATTCGAAACGGGATTTGAAAGAGGAGGTCAAACTTGTGAACACGCTTTGCTGGTCAGAACTTTGGGTGTGAGTAAACTCATAGTGATTATTAATAAAATGGATGATCCCACCATTTGTTGGTCTAAATCAAGATAAACAATAATTATTTAATAAATCTCGGATTTGATTTAATAATTCAATCAGCATTGAAAACAATGTTATTTATTAAAGATATGATGATTTTTTAAAGAAAGTGGATACAATCCTACTACAGGTATGTCCTTTTTTTTAATTGATTGATTGATTTATTGATTGAAAGTTACCGTATTTCACTGCATAAAGTACCCAGGGTAGTATCAGATCCACCATGTTATATACCCAGGTACATTTCACAGTTCTAGCATTGGTAATATGTAACAGACCCGGGCACATAATAAAATCTGAATACAGATTCTTTGTGTAATGTACCTCTCTTAACGTAATGTATCACGTGAAAAAAAGCCAATAATAATAAGTGAAAAAAAAGTCTAACATGGAGAAAACAAAGGCAGAATTGGAATCTTTGTTGTTTAACAGAAAAAAAAACAGATAGAGAATACAGGATATTAGAAGAAAAGGTAAAAAAAGAATCTATAAATTGCATTAGTTCCACTTATTTTGGTAATTAATATACATCTCCTCATAATAATCATCACTATCATCCTCCTCATTCTCTTCTTGATGAACTTCATCCAAATTAAAAGATTCATCAATACCTCTTTCTTGAGAACTTTCTTCATCTTTATTTTCATCATCTAAAAACTCACTCTCTTGATGGCTCTCTCCACTTCCATTACTCATATCACTAGAATCCACTTCAATATTATTTTCTTCTTGATTACTATAAAATATATAATTGTTATTACTTCTTTGACATATTTGATCATAATCAAAAATCAAATTATTTTCTAAGCTATCTCATGTATTTGAAATTCCATAATACTTAAAAGATTTGTAGATAAATTCAGGATCAACTCTATCTTATGTTACTTTAATCCACTCAGTCACAGTATTATAAGCAGGATGTTGGATTCATCCAGTAGAAGTTATTTTTTTAATTTCTTCTGTTATCCAATCATTATATTGATAACACATCTACAAAAAAGTGATTAAAATTAAGTATTTAATAAAAAAATTACAAAAAATAACTTATCTTTGATTTGAATGATTTATTAATAGAAATATTTAATGATTGTAACTTTGAAGTTAATCCACCAGGAATTACTACTATATTGATCTTTTTTTCTTCAAATCTTCATTTAACAGAATCAGTTAAATTACCTCAAAATAAATTCAATACAAGTAAATATTGTGAATTAGATGACAGAAAATAACAAGTCCAAATATTTTGAATTCATCAAATCATTTCTTCTTTATTCATATAGTCTTGTCAATTAGTATGAATAAAAATTTTATTTGTAAATATTTGATATAGAATATTAATAAGTCTAAAAATGATTATAGGTAATAATTTTATACCATTTGCTATATAAATAAGCACTAGTTCTGAGAGTTACAACTAGTTACAACTCTATCACAATTCTCTGATTGGCTATTATAACTCTGTCATAATTTTCTGATTGGCTACTGCAAGCTGCAACTAGTTGAAAAGATATCTTTAGTAAGCACAACTATAAAATTTGATTTTTTGTGTCCTATAGTGCAGATATTAACTGTTTTTGCTTCTGTTTCTTCAATTATTATAGTATTTGAAAGATTAAATGCTAATAATATTTTATTCATATTACTAATTAATATTATTGGATAATTATATTAAATATAATGATATAAAATAAAACTCAAAAAATTTTGTTTTAACACTTCTAAATCTTCAGATAATTTTTGAGTAATAGTAATATATCATTAGTTACTGAGATTATATCATTTCATGAATTTATCAATCTATTATTCACTCTATTTATATTCATATATATTTAAATAAAGATTGATAAAATATTACTTTATTACTAATATTTTAGTCTTCATATATATTATATGACAAGTTACTACTTTTTATTATTATCTTAATATTTTTATCTATTGAATAAGTTCAGTTTTGATTATTAAATATCTTGATTTTGCTCTATTATTTAAATATTTGATATATGATCTAGCTTTCATTAGTATATCACAATTTTTATGTCAGTCTCAAATTTGTTTGGGTTGAATATTAAATTCTTGAGCAGTATTATAGATACTAGTATTTGAATACTGATCAAGATAGGTAAGAATTACTAATTTTTCATGTGCATATCATGTTTGTTTTTTTTAATAGTAATAATTACATATTTAGAATTAAGTACTCTTCATATTATTTTATTAAAAATTTACATATTTAAAATTTTTATAATCTAATAAATATATATTTTTTAATTTATCATACAGAAAATATATCTGTTTAATATACTCTTTATATAAAAGATCTTCTATTTAATATATTTACTATATAAGAGATTCACTTTTTAATATACCTTTTGTATAAGAAATCTATTATTTGATATATCCATCTTTTTATAATATACTCTCTAGATACAAATCAACTTTTTTATATTCCAGGTATAACATATTCCAAGTATTTTATGCAGTAAAATATGATATATTTTATTTATAAATTTTCAGTTCATATCTATTTCTGAATATATAGGAGCTAATTTAAGAGTAGACAGTATATTGATCTTTTGAATATATATATAATAATCAATTTTAGGAGATGTCTAGAATAGAGATAAATCATATGAAAAATTTTATGATTATAATTAGTTAATGTAAATAAAATTCTGATTGATCAAGAAATATAAAGATGATTAATATTATATAATAACAAGGGAATTATAAAATTTTATTTTTTTGTTTTTATTTTATTTTGTTTTTAATTTTGGTTGTGATTGAATTTGAATTTGTTTTTGATTTAGTTTTTTTGTAATGGTAAGTTTTTTTTTTGTAATTTAACTAGTTTATTTTTTTTATAAAAATTAAATAAAAATATCAATCTTTTTTTCTTAATGTTAGGAAAAAAAATATTTTTTTACTTTTTGATTTAGTTATCATATTTATCATCTCTTCAGTTATTATCTCTGTTATGTCTTCAATTATCATCTTTACTATATCTTCAGTTATTATCTCTACTATATTTTCAGTTATTATAACTTCTTTAATATCAAAGCTCACATCAGATAAAAAATAGTATTATCTTTTTAATATAAATAGTTTTTTAAAAATTCCAATGAAGAATTTTAATAATAATTGGTGACCATTAGTAATAAATATTTGGATGAAATGAGATTTATATGAATATATAAATAGTAATATTTAGAAAATTTTTACCTGCTATTTTATGAAATATCAAAAATTAAGTACTTAATAAAAGAAAAATATCCCAAACAAAAAATATCAAATAACAAAGTCATAGCTATTTGATCTCTATCTTGTAAAGATTAAAGTTACTTGAATAATCTCTTCAAAAATAATTTGAGTAAAATAATATAAAAATACTCTAAACTATATATATTTTTTATTAGAAGTTGATAGAATAAAATAATTAAAAGTCATCAGAAGTTTAGTCAAAATAAAGGTAGTTAAAAATTATTCATCTCTAGTAATCACAACTATTATCAAAGAATATATAATGATAGAATTAGATCTTGGTATATATATATATATGAGTTGATATGCAAAGAAGTGATAAAATTTATGAATCTATAAAAACTCATCTTATTAAAAATTCAAATTTAAAATTCAATATTTTAAAAGCTATTTCTTATTTAATAAAACAGGAATATCTTATTGAAAATTATCATATCTTCCAATAGTTAACTAAAGATATTATATTTACATATCTAAAATAATTAAAGAAACTTAAGTATTATAGATAGTTAATATTTATAGATTCAATATACAAAACTAACTGATATAATTGATATTTAATTACTCTTTATATCTGTGATACTTACAGATACTAGAATATGAGTATTTACTTTTTTATAAGTAGTGAGAATAGAGATATAATTGCAAAAATATTAATAATAATTCATAATAAATATTATCACTGATCTTCTTATTATATACTTTTAGATCATAATAGTATTAAAGCTAATATAATCTTCTAGTTACATAATATAATATGTTCAAATAATTCACACAAATAAGTCAGGATATAATATTATATCAGAAAAATTCATACAAAGATTCAAGATATATATATAGTGATATTATTTGAAATAGAATTCATACAAAAAACTAAATTAAAAGCAGACAAGAGATTATATTTTAAACTTATTCTTTATTCAATATATTGGTACTTGATACTTGATACTTAAAATTATAGAACAGATATAGCATCTTTAAATAATAAATTAATATTGCATAAAATTAATAATAAAATAAATAAATTAATAATAGAAAATACTTATATGATAATACCTCCAGAAGATACTTATTAATAAATAAACAAAGAAATAAATAATTACAAATGAAATATATAAATTTAGTAATATACTAGCTAAATTAGTAGAATAAGAAAAAAGAGAAATTCTACTAAGAAAACTATCTATAGCTAAAATAGCTCAAGTATACCATATGACTTTATGAGATAATTTTTGTGATATAGTATTATGTATAGTGTAGTATGTGGCATAGTAATAATCTGTGAGAGAAAATTAAATTTATTATATCATCTTCCTCTTAAGAATCAATATTCTTATTGATGCTTTGATTCAAAAGATTTTATGAGTTTCATAATATTGTGAAGATTTTCTAAAGGTTTTCAGATAGAATCATGAAGAGAGTAATCTAATTATTTAACTAAATATTACAGTTTATTACAAATAATTCTTTTGTCTAGAATAGCTTCAACTTCAAATTCTTCTTCATTAGTTCCAGATATGATGATTAATTGTAATGGTATTGAACAAATAAATTTTTTATTATTATTAGAATTATATAATTTTAATAATGAGATATGAAAGATAGGGTGAATTTTCATATGCAAAGGTAAATCCAGTTTATATATAATAGGTAAAATTATTTCAAGAATAGTAAAAAGATCAATATATT